ATCCATTTGCTACATTTTCAGATCAACATGTTTGTGCTTTTTCCCACAGTGCCCTCCACAGATCTCTACGGAGTAGTTTTTCTGTCTTCTTCCCTTCCTTCTCCTTTGCCATAATGCTGCCCAAAAGCTCAGCAACAGATAGGTCAGTAGTGTGCTAAGACAACTGCCTGCCGTGCTGACTAATGTGTCTCTGTACTCTCACATCAATCTGCCTATATTCTCATCTGTTTTCTCTTTTCTTAATAAAGCAACAATTTGATGCAGGGATTCAGGCCCCATGTGGAGTACTGCATCCAGGCCTGGGGCCCCCAGCACAAGAAGGACATGGAGCTCTTGGAGCAGGTCCAGAGGAGGGCCACTAAGATGATCAGAGGGCTGGAGCACCTCTCCTGTGATGAAAGGTTGAGGGAACTGGGATTGTTTAGCTTGGAGAAGAGAAGGCTCTGGGGAGACTTCAGTGGCCTTCCAGTACTTGAAGGGAGCATACAAACAGGAGGGGGAACAGCTGTTTATGAGGATGGATAGTGATAGGACAAGGGGGAATGGTTTTAAACTGAGACAGGGGAGGTTTAGGTTGGATATTAGGAGGAAGTTTTTCATACAGAGGGTGGTGAGGCACTGGAACAGGTTGCCCAAGGAGGCTGTGGATGCCCCATCCCTGGAGGCATTCAAAGCCAGGCTGGATGTGGCTCTGGGCAGCCTGGTCTGCTGGTTGGCAACCCTGCAGGGGAGTTGAAACTAGATGATCATTGTGGTTCTTTTCAACCCAGGCCATTCTATGATTCTGTGATATGATTCTATGTGAGTTTGTAAAGCACCCAGCATAATGAATTTCTATTAGATCTGAGGTGGCAGTGTGTTAGGGTAATGTAATAGGATAAAGTGTTATCAAAAAAGTGCTAGAAGATTTTGTAAGCAAGGTTAAAAATGGTTTAATAATCCTCTATTGTACACATGGTCTGTCTACTAAAAGTGGTAAAAAGTACCCTCTACCTTTAGGGCAGTATCCATCTGTAACTTACTAAGGAAAGTTTTGAGGCGGGATTCATTTCTCCTAACTTCTGATGTCAGCAGTGTCAATATTACCATCTGAGAACCTTTATAATTGCTCAGATGAAAGAGATCACGGCACAGCCCTGTATATCTGATTGTTTCTAGAAATCTATTTTAGGATGATGACAGCAGTACAAAGAGAATTAATTTGTGTCTTCAGATTGACTGAGAGCATAAACAGGTAGGTCAGATGGAAACATCTGCATTGCCTATGGATCTGGATCTTATTGAAAACGAATGCATTTGTTGCAGCTGAGGAAAAAACAGGAAGGTACACATTGCATTACCAAAACATCACCATTCAAGGTGCTTGTCTGGTAGTGACAAGCTCCTTCAACTTGGACAGAGCCATATCTCCCTTTTTTGCTGCTTCTACAGGAAAACCAGTGCCCAGGAATAGTAAAAGGGAGAAGAGGAAGGAGCGACATACAGCTGTACTTGGAATGTGCTGAGGAGAGGCTTCTGCTTTTCCTCATTCCCTTTTTCCCTCTATGTACTCATGCACAATGTGGCCTTCACCACTTATCATGTAGGCTCAGTAAAAGATTGGTGTGTAATTTAGTTCTCCTCCCAGTAACAACAGTAAAGTGGAAGTGAACATAAAAGCACAACAAAATAACAGTTGCTAATTATAGCAAACTGATTACCCATTGCCTATGTTTTAGAGAGTGAACCAGTGGTGAATATAGAGTTGATTCACACAAGTAGTCACCAAGCTCTTTAGATGTAATGGTAGCTAGTTTGATCTGAATCTGGCACGTTTGGGGCTTAAAATGAAGGTCATGTTCAAATCTGATTTAAATTCAAGGAAAGCGTCTTTGCCTATTACCATTACTATAGTGCTGGATTCTATTTACATTGATAAACAGTTAAAATACTTGACATGTTATTCAATTAAATCTCTGATTGCTAACTGACAGACCAAAGTGCATTGATTTTTCCAACCGCATTAAGCTAAGTACATGGCACAGTGTTTCATTAGCCTGTCTGCTTAACCCTTTCACATTAATTCAATTACCCAGTATAAAATTAATCTGTAAAATATTAAATAACTCTGAACTTTTAAATTAGAAGGCAATGCAAGGATATATTCATCTTGATAGTTTCTGACATATACTTATTACTAGGTGATTTGCAATCTGCTGTGAATCACATTGTTCTACAGATGGCAAAAGTCACTCAAGTTTTTTTTTCTCCATATTCACTCAGTAAATTGATAGATTCATGGAGGTTAAGGCTGCAAAGGACATAAGATTATCCTCTATAACCCCATCTAAATATCAGGTCATAAATTTTCCTTGTACTTCAGGGTGAAGACCAGTAACTTGAAACTGACAAAAGCACAATTTGTTGGTTTGGGGTTTTTTGCGGAAGTCTTCTTCCGAGACAGACAAGCTCGATTTAAAGACATGAGGACTTAGCCCCTTCTCTGGTCATTTATTTCAGTACTCAGTCACTCTCACTGTTAGAAACTTTTGCATTATTTTTTATTTCAGTTTGACTAGATTTAACTTTAAACCATTAGTTCTTGCTATGCTTTCCTTCACTAGATTAAAGAAGTCCCTCACTAGCCAATATTTTCTGTCTGTGAAAGCATTTGAACACCATAATCAAGCTGCAGCACACCATCCTACTTGGTATCCTAAGAATTCTCTCTATATTATTTGCTTTAAGGCATTTTCTACAGTCTTCAAACTGTTTTTTTTTTACACCTTTGGAGAACAAGAGTGCACAGACTGCACACAAACTTCATTTAAAATCTCAGCACTTTCGTACTCACACCATTGTTTATATCCACTTTTTGCTATAGAATTGTATAGAGACACCATGTTGAATTATATGCAATACAATTACCTATAGTTAATCTTGACATTTATAGCTTTCCAGCATATAGCCCCTGCATCTGTCCTTCTTGTTCTCCAGTGTCCTGAGAGCTTTTGTTTGATGGTATTAACATTAATATTCTTCTACTGTGTCTGGGTCAGTAAATGATGGATTGTTTCACATGCTTGTACTGCTTTCATTAGTAACTGCTGTCTGCTAACCCTGGTGTCATCTGCAAATCTTAACAGCGATGATTATACATTTTCTTAGAGTTCATTAATAAAAATGCTGAACGCTACTGAATCTAGTCCTACTCTTTATGGGATCCAAAGAGAAACAACATAATGACTCCCTGTTTCTACCTTCTTTTTGAAAATTGAGTGCTGAGATCATCTAGATGATTTCTAATGTATTTAATCTGCACTTTATTGTCTTTTATGCTTTTTTCCCCTTGATCAGAAAATCACATGGCATAAGGTAACTTCACAGGAACCTAAATAGCACAAAGTGTAATAATGACTGTACTTCTTCAGTTTTCTGCAAGAACAAACATTATTTGTTTTAGATAAGGATAGGAAGCCAAACAAAAGACACACACAAACAACAACAACAACAACAAAAACTATAAAAATGTTTGTTATTAAAGTATGTTTAAGGGGAAGCAGAAAAACTGAAAAGCAGTCACAGTAAATATCCTTTCAAATTTGTCTTACATATTTATTTTGAATCTGTTGCTCTGCAGGGAATCGTTTGTGTTAGTTAAGAATGTTTATTCTGAAAGATTCCTTTTTTTAAAAAACATCAAAGGAAAATTTGTAGTTGTTTCTTTTCCTGCAAAATGTGATGTATAGCTTGAGTTCTGTCACCACGTTTCCAGTATTCTCTGTGTTCAACAAGACAATCTCATGGTGATGTCTAACGTGTGTATTATCAGTTGTGTCACATTTTTTCCAGCTGGCTATTTAAGAAAGATCCTTGCAATAAGCACATTAACTGCTAATGAAAAATACCATTTTGAGACTTAGAAATTTGTGTAGGATGTTGCATTCACAGTTTTCTAGTGAGGTGTGCAGATTTTATGCAGTTTTTACATAAGCAGTTCTGTAAGCAGATTTCCAGGGATATAGCATTGACCTATTAACTCTCTCAGTATTAGCATTAACTACCTAAACATCTGCACCCTAATCCATTGTTGGACACAAGTGTGAGGATTCATCAGAGACGTTCATCTAACTTCGGCTTAGTCTGCCAGCTTCTGCTGCTCATGGAGTGCCAAGCTGCAGAGGAGAGACAGGTGGTATGAAGAACCAAAAAGCAAGCTGTGCTAACATTTTCTGCTGGAGCTAGAAATGTTATAGAGAAGCCCCATTTACTCTGCCCAGAGCTGTCACAGTACAGAAGTAAGGAGGAGCAGATTCTCAGGAGAATCTTTATAGGAGGCCAGACTGCCTATGGGATTCCCACTTGAGAGCAGTGGTTCATCACTCTCACAGCCCCCTTTAGTCAAGGCTGTATCACAGCTTGGCCCCAAAGCTGCACAATAGAAACACAAAGGAGGAATAACAGGATAACAGCACAGCAACCAGCAAAGTCACAGTACATCCAATTAGCATAGGAACTAAGCGTGAAAGGAAAAGGATTTTAAAACAACTTGTAACTAGAAGTACCACTCCTACACCAGCTGCAGGTGCCTGCAGTTAGAACGCAGAAGAGAGAACTGAAATGTTTTGTAACAGAAACAGGAAAAAAAGAAAAACAACAACGAGAAGCAGCCAAAGAAAAGGGACATTCAGAGCAATACATTGGTTTCTTTTAATTATGTGAATCAAGCTGCTGAATGCACTTCTACACTTTTATTTGATCAAAATCTAATTGCTCCAACCAGAATCTGACCTGTAGAAACCCCTCACATACAAGCAGATAGTGTGCAGCCTTCTGCTTCTGACTGTGCTAACAGAGTTAGGTTTTAGTATTCCAAAAGGTCCTTTTACTCCTGCAAACATCCATTCTTTCAATCCAGTTCCCTCATGCATAAGCAAAAACCCATCAGAGTTAAATGCCAAGCCAGCAATATTTCAAGAGCACCTGGGACACAAATGCTAAGCTGACTATTGTGTTTGTAGGTGTCCGGTCCACTTTCTCAATAATTTGCAAGGCTTCTCCTCTACTGGATGTGTAAGGTAGCTCAGCTCAGCCCTCTTCTGCAGAGTGAAAAGCAGTCTCAAACTACTTGGCATGTGATGTGTGATGGAAGTCTGAACATGGCCAGGTCCTGGGAAGCAGCTGGAAACAATGACTTACCAAGGTGAGGTGAATGGGACAGAAGCAGAAATGGAACTGTGCATGTGCAAGTCTGGTATTTCCCCTGCAGGTAATGATTCCCAGGTCTGTTTTGTTCTGTTTAGCAACATTCTTGTACTTTCAGATGAGAGTGGTGAGAAACTTGGAAGGTGAAAGTCACAAAGTTGAGATGCCATTGAGCAAGTATCTCTAAGACGATAGTCTTTTGAATAACAACTCAGGGTCCTTCATCAACCTTAATGCAGAGCTGTCCAGGGTTGATCCAAATCATAGGATTTAGTTATTCACAAATCATTAATGCTTTGTACTGCAGGCTTTTGAGTAGGATTTTTTCTGTTTGAAGCCAAGAAATCTTTGTTACCTTCTTTTTTTCTGAGTCCCTCAATTTGTTGTTGTTATTTTTTGTGAATATACAGGCTAAGTCATCTGAAAACCTACCCAATAAAGGCATTCTACACACAGTTTCTGTTCCTTCTCTTCTCTAGTATTAAATCTGAATCTGTGGACCTGGATGTTATCTCAGTGCATGAAATTGTGTATTTGCACTGCCATCCATTATGCCCTGCAGGAGTATTAACTTTCATCCCCAGTCTGGCAGTGTGTACTTGTGAGTGAGCAAGAGTCATTGCAGCTGAGCATTCTGTTCTGTGCAGAGCCCTCACACTGTGGAAATAACTGCATTCCAACTCTCAGTTCAATAGCATTGTGCAGCAGGATATTACTGTATAACTGTCAGTGTTGCTTTGGTATAGAAGCTTCCTCCAGGCACCCACAAGACAGATGGCTGTATCATTCCATAGCCATTCAACTCTGTATTGCAATTGGAAAGAAATACAAACAAAAAAAATTCTAACTATCTCTACTAAGCAATTTTACAGCTGTCTATCTGAAATTAAAGCATCCTCTCGTTTGCTTTGCTTTTTTGTTGTGATACTTCTTTTTTTTTTTTTTCCAAGTACAACACTGTGAGTAAGTAAACTTCCACTGAGCTTTTAATGCTCACAAAAACGTAGGACACTAGGATCCAAGATCCATGCTTCAAACTGTAGGAGATCAAGCACAAGAAGATTCTGAAAAACAGCGTAAATTGAACACTTTCTATAGGCCAGTGTAAAAAGCAGTCTCTTGTAGCAAAGGACTTTTGTCCTTTGAAGTTGAGAATAACTTCCTTGGTACTGAACAGACCAAGCAGAGGTGAAATGTTAATAGACCTGCTGCTCATCAATGTGGAGGAGACTGTTAATGTGGTTAAGATGGAGGCAGCCTGGGTTGCAGTGACCATGCTCTGATTGAGTTCATGATTGTGAAGAAGATGGGCCTGGCAAAAAGCAGAGTCAGGACCCTGAAGTTCAGGAGAGTGAACTTCCAGTTGTATGAGGAATTACTGGGTGATCTCCCAGGGAGATTGTCCTTGGGGACATCAGAATGGAATAGAGCTGCCAGATGTTTAAGGACACCTTTCTGACTGCATAAGAGCTCTTCCATCCCCCAGCATAAGAAATCAAGGAGAGGAGGCAGGAAACTGGCATGGCTGAGCAAGGACCTGCTGGTTAAATTGAGGAAAAAGAAGGAAAAGTACAGGCAATGGAAGCAGGGATGGGTGGCTTGGAAGAATTCAAGGATGTCATACAAGAAATATGCAGAGCTGTTGGAGGACCACAATGATGATCAGAGGGCTGGAGCATTTCTCCTCTGAAGAAAACTTGAGGGAACTGGTCTTGTTTTACTTGGAGAAGGGAAAACTCCGGGGAGATCTTATTGTGGCTTTCCAGTACCTGAGGAGAGCTTCTAAGCAGAAGAGAGACTGACTTTTTACATTGTCTTATAGTGATAAGACAAGGAGGAATGCCTTTAAACTAAAAGAGGGGATATCTGAGAGCAGCTCTTAGAGGATGGTGTGGCACTGGCTCACGTTGCCCAGGGAAGTTATGGAGGTGTTGGATAGAGTCCTGGGCAGCCTGATTTAGTGGTTGGTGCATGTTATTAAAAACACAGATTCACCATACACATTTGAACTGTTCTTTTATTTGCTCTGCAGTCAAATGATTTGGTTGCTTTCTTGACCCCTTACTGAGCTGGCATTTTCATAGAAATGCTATTTCATTTTCTGATATTCTTAATTAGCCTACGTAGCTGTTTGTACAGCTTTGCTATGCCTTACGTAGAATTTTGTCTGCCATTTTGTCACAAGTTGTTCATGATCAAGCTGTGCTTCTGCAGCTCTGCACAGTCAGCTTTCAGTAGTCATCACTGTAATAAGCATAGTGGGATCAGCAGTCTTTGTTCTCCCATTATTCATCACCTTTTTAAGGTCATTCAGAACTTTGCTGAGCAGCACAGATCTCGGCACAAAATCCAATAGGATTGCATTGGTGATTTCCTTCCAGTGGGACTCTTGCATTCCTGCTTTTTTTTTGTGTCTTTTAATTGCTTATTCATACAAATGAGGATCTTTTTAGCCCATGTGACCTCCTTTTACAAGTTGTTTTGTTTTGTTTTGTTTTCAATTTAAAAAAATCCAGCTTAGTACACAGCTTAACCACTTATTATAAAGGCAGTGGGCTTGTGAAATGTGTTTTCCCTTTGCAGAAGTTTTATGGACTGTTGCACAATATATTTTCTCATGTGTCTGCTCATTCTTTTTCTTGCAGTGGTTACTACTGATTTGCTGAACAAAGACATCAGGTGTGGTGGTCTTATAGAACCATGGAATCATGAGTTGGAAGGTACCCACAAAGGTCATCATGTCCAACTCTGGTTTCGTATAGGACCACAAAGGGAAAAATCCTTTTCTGGACCTGTTGGCAGTGCTGTGCCTGTAGTTCCTCGGATCACCTCTGGATCCCTTTGTTAAAATGATCCATTTTACCACCATGCAAGCCTCTGATACTGACACAATTCCCAGAGATTACACATTGCAGCTAGCAGTTGTGTTATTTCATCTCTCAGTTAGTTTAGAGCTGTTAGGTGAATACTGTCTGGTCCTAGTGATCCTTAGCATTGTGTCATGGGAGATACAATCTCTGAAGAGAGCAATCAGTCCTGAGTCCATTGCGTCATGTTTAAATGCAAGCGTTCACTACTGTTCCCCTCTTGTTTTGTTTTCCACCTCTAGGTAATTTAACTTCTGTTTTAATCATTTCTGTTTGGCCTCACAGACAGACAGCCACAACACTTAATCAGAATAAAGACTGCATAATGAAAAAAATAAACATTGTAGAAATGCTACTCCTTTGATTAATGAATTTTTCATGCTTTACCTCCTGCATGGATTGTTTTACACTCTACTGATGCTGATGAAAGAATTTTCCAGTGTTCACCTAGAGAGTTCACAACAGAAGAAATGTACCTTTACTCAGGATTATGCCTAAAAATAGGTTACTGATCCTGATAAGTAGCCACAACTGTGCTGCCGCAATGCCATTCCAGAAATAATAGAAGTCTTATTAAAGGATTAGAGCATTTAAATAGGAATACAGATATCATGGATGGAAACTGTATGTAGTTGGCAATGTGAGGGCAATTACAAGGAAACAAAACAAGGGAATGTGTCAGAAACTGCATGAGAACATAAATTGAACTCAAAAAGTTTCCACTAAATCCATGTAATTTGACTTATAACTTTGAAGCATTTTATATCATTCTTGGAAGGCTACAGTAATTTTTATCTTACTGAATTGCAATTTTAAGATTTACAGGACAATTTACAGCCCTCTTTTGTTTTACATAGGCTAATCCATTAGCCTGTTGCATTGGAAACATGCAGCATGGAAATATACAGCATCCAGGCTTTTATATCTACCAGAATGGGTCAGAGTATTTACATTTTCCAAATTAGAAACTATATGAGTGATACAAATCTAGATATCCATTACTAGATATCCATTACTGCCAAATGTGAAGAACATCAGACCACTAAGGAAAACTTTAGACAAATTGTTTAGATACATGGGTCTATGTGTGTCCAATCTTTTGGCTTGCCTGGGCCACACTGAGGATCGTCTTGGATTGCATATGAATTATATAATGTAGTTAATATATATAAGTAACAAAATGTCTTTAATTTATTTTTTTATTAAAATGTTTGAAAAAGAGGGCAAGAAAATCATAAAACTAGTGGGATGGGCATGTATGATTTAGAACTTCTTGATGTTCTGATGCATTTCTTTACACAGTAATGGAAATTTTTTATAAAGTTCTGCATTTTAGAATAGCTCAAGATTCACTGTTACTGTGATAGAACATGCCTCTTACAAGGATATTCTTCAGGCTTTAGCAGGTAGGTCAGGTGCTTTGAAGTTTGAGTTTGAAGAAAAGCAAAAAAAAACGAACAAAAAAAACCCTTACAAACTGTCTTTTTAGGATTTATGACTCAATTTGTAAAACCATATAGAATACAATAACCCACACATTTTGAATATCTGAAAATAGTGTTTGAAAAGAACAGAGAAGTACCAGTGTAATGGTTGACTGGAGTTGTGTTCTTCTGTTGTAAATCAGTGCTTTAGAAGCAGAACTAAAATTATGGTTGTGATTTGAATGTATCCATATTATCTTAGAACAAAACCTTTTCCATTCTGAAGTCCTAGTACTCCAAACATCCTTACTGTAGATATGTAGATGGCAGGGTATGGACTAAGTACAGGGCTTATTGTATATTAGGGTCTTTCTCATACGTAAAATATGATAGTTCTTCACAGGCCTCCATTTGCAGGCATCACAGCAGATCTCATGGCCTTCTAAACCTCAACTAATACACCTAAATACTTCTGGAATGACATGCCAGAAGGCTATTTCTTAAGATTTCTCATTTGTGTGATTCATTTCGAAAACTTGACATATGTGTAATAGGATGTCAGCGTGGGATGGAGAGGAGGAGGGAAAAGAGCCCTGCTCAGTAACTGCACATGCATCTGCCCATATGCACAGATTTACTGATGAGAAAACTTCTCAGCAGCAGTATAGAACTGGTAGGAATGAACTGTTCAGTTTCTTACAAATGGTTCAAATTCCAAAAGCTCTAGGCTGTGTGTGTACGTGTGTTGGATAAGTAACAATCCAGCATGTCAGTATAGCTGTTTGCTGTGTATCAAGCTGCATAAGAGGTCTGGAACTCGATGTGATGGAGCCACTCATAATCTGAGATCCTCTGCAGATGGAGCGAGGGAAGTCTGTGAGACCATGGAATCTGACAGTCAAGTTTTCTATCGCATCAGCCACAGAGGGAACAAAGGACACAGTGTGAAGAGTTCTTACCACAGATTGTAATAGATTTTCTCATATTGTTTCTCACAGTGACAAACACCCACTGGGCACTGGCTAGCCAGAAGCACCTGTTCAGCCTGGCACACGAGCCAATATGTGGTGGGTGTCTTGAGGTAGGTGGAGTCTAGTGAACTTTGGGAAGGAGAGCAGAGTGAGGGATCATGCCTTATTCCTTAACAAGCTCCCCCTTCTTTGCACCATCTTTTCTAAGTGGACATTTCAGGCTCTTCACAGGAAAGAGCCTATTGCCTTGTTTCTTGATGTGCTCTTGAGTAATGAATTGACTTGTGAGTGCTGCCAGATAGTCTCAGTTTCCCTAGCCAGATCAGCAGTGAGATGGAAGTTGAATGGCATTAGAGTGTATGAATATACCCACCTTCTTCACAACTGTCAGCATGGCACTGTACGTGCTTCCATTGCACTTCCTGAAGTATTTGCATATGCTCTGAATAGTGGGACTTTTGCAAGACAGTACATTACATCTCTTATTCGTGGGTTTACCGGGACCTCCAGGACCTCCACTGGAAGTCAGTTCATTGCTTGCCAGATAAGAACCTTCCCAAAATAACTGACGTAGATAAATCTTTCCACCCATGTAGTTCCCAGTCCAGTGAGAACAGCCCAGCATCTCTGGTATCTTAGAAGCAGCAAGCCATATGTCAACGGTTTACAAGCTGGCTCAGCCCGTTCGTTCCCGTGTTATGATGTGGAATACCAAAAACCAAAAATCACAAAACCATGACACCATAAAGCTCCTTTTTAAAACAGACAGCCATTATTCCACCATGGATTTTAAGAAGTGGATTTAAAGCAGAAAACACAACAGGGAAGTGCAAGTGCTGCAATATCACTTGCACAGCAGAGGTGGGCAAGCTTCTATCCTCTTTCCTCACCTTGCTCCTATCTGCTAGTTCAGTTCTGTTGCAGTCCAACTCCTAATTTCTGCAAATTGTATGAATGATTACAGTAGAATCAAATATCAGAGTTGCCAGTGGTGTGAGCATTGCAGCACCTTTTTTAAATGTGCTAATTCCCATTAAGGATTTCAGAGCTGCAAGATCCCAAGTGTTCTCTCTGCCTTTTGCTTATTTTATTGATTTTGGGTTTTCTGGTTTGTTTTTCATTTTGGTTAAGTTATTTTGATCTTCAGTTGTAAAATGAGTAAATATTTCTGCACTACTGTACATGTAAACTACAGAAAAACAGGCAGTAAATTTATTCACTCAGACATTGTACAGAACCGGCCACATTTTGTAGGACAGTGGCTGTCTAATGGGGCTTGGGAAATGGAAGCCCAAAAGATGCTGTACTTGCACTTTGTGTCACATTGTATATCTCCTCCTGCAGGCCCTTAAATTCAGTCCTTCTCGGTAATTGACTTCTCTATGTGTAGTGGGCCAATCCATGAACCTCAGTGTTGCTCTGCCTCTTTGAAGACCTCCACCGAGTGAGGGAAATTGGAGTTGAAATACTGAGATCCACTAGCTGGGAGCTAAGGTAAAAATTACAGTGCAAGGACAGCAAGGCCTCTCCTCAGTATCTAAGAGAAGAAGCATTTGGTGATCCTAAGCTTTGAGAACCCTTTATTGAATCACCTTATCCCATCCGATGTGTTGGAATAGCCCTTAGGGATGAGCCCTTGTGGTTCAGTGTTCAGCAGGAGCAGCAGGAAGAGACAATCCAAAGCAGGTGAATTAATCTTCATTACTGGTATGAAGCAGAGAAGTCACAAATAGCATAGAAACCTTGCTGCCTTGCCAGCATGTGAGCCTGACCACAGTACTTTCTAGTGATTCTACCAAAGACAATATAGACATTGACTTTATCAAACTTCTACTGCTGCTACTTTCTTTTGAATCATAGAATAGAATAATAGGATGGCTTAGGTTGAAAGGAACCTTAAAAGATCATCCAGCTCCACCCTGCTGCCCTGGACAGGGTTTTCACCCACCAGATCAGGCTGCCCAGGGCCCCATCCAATCTGGCCTTGAACACCTCCAGGGATGGGTCATCCACAGCTTCTCTGCACAACCTGTTCCACTGCCTCACTAAGTAAAGAATTTCCTCCTAATATCTAACCTAAATCTCCCCACTTAATTTAAAACCACTATCACTATCTGCCCATGTAAAAAGGAGGTCTCACTTCCTTTTATGAACTTCCTTCAAGCACTGGAAGGCCACAGTGAGGTCTCCCCACAGCCCTCTCTTTTCCTTTTATCCAATCTAAATCTCCTCTCTTTTACTTTGAAACCATTTCCTCTTGTTCTATCACAACAGACCTTGCTAAAGAGTTTGTCCCCTTCTTTCTTACAGCCCCTCTGTAGATATTGAAAGGCCACTATCAGATCTTCCCAGAGCCTTCTCTTCTCCAGGCTGAACTGCCCCAGCTCCCAGCCCATCTTCATAGGAGAGGTGTTCCATCCCTAGGATCATTTTTGCAGCCCTCCTCTGGACACACTCCAACAGATCCACGTATCTCCCGTACTGAGGACTCCACATCTGGGCAGTTAGTTTTCTGGGCTGCAAGGGCACATTGCTGGCTCATGTCCACTTTGCCATCTGCTGGTACTCCCAGGTTCTTTTCAGCAGGGCTGTGCTCCGTCCTTACATCCCCAGCTTGTACTGAAGTGGGGCTGGCTACAACACAGGTGCAAGACCTTGGGCTTCGTTGATCCTCATGAGGTTCACCTGGGCCCACTGCTCAAGCCTGTCTTGGTCCTTCTGGATGACATCTTGTCCCTCATGTCTGCTGCACCACACAGCTTTCTGTCATCCGCAAACTCACACTCAATCCCACTGTCAGTGTTACTGATGAAGATGTTAAAGCATATTGGTCCCAGTACAGACCCCTGAGGGACACCACTCATCACTGATCTCCATTTAGACATTGAGTCACCACTCTCTGGGTATGGTCCTGCAACCAGTTTCTCATCTATCGAACAGTCCGCTCATCAAATCCATATCTTTCCAATTTGGAGAGAAGGATGTTATGAGAGGCTGTGTCAAAGACCACTGAAGTCCAGATAGATGACATCAGTGGCTCTTCCCTTGTCCACTGATGCAGTTATGCCATCATAAAAAGCAGTAAAGTTGGTCAGACAGGACCTGCCTTGAATACCTCCCTCTCTTCCGTATCCACAGCTTCCAGGAGGATCTGTTTCATGATCTTCCCTGGCAGGGAGGTGAGGCTGAAAGTTTGGTAGTTCCCTGGGTCATCTCTTATATCCTTCCTAGAAATAGGTGCTATATTGCCTTTTGTTCAGTCATCAGGGTCTTCAGCTGACCACAGTGACTTTTCGAATATCATCAAGAGTGGCTTGGTGACTACATCAGCCAATTCCTTCAGGATTCTGGGATGCATCTCATTGTAACCCATAGACTTATGGATGTTCAGATTCCTCAGGCAGTTGCAAACCTGATATTTGCTTACAGTGGCAGGCACATTACTCCCCCAGCTCCCACCTTCTGAACCATCCACTCCAGAGCTGTGTGTAGAGCAATCACTAGTGAAAGCTTAGGCAAAAAAATGTGTTTAATGCATCAGCCTTTTCCTTGCTCGCTGTTACTAGTCTGGCTGTTGCTCACTAGGGAGGGTACACTCTCAACTTTCCTTTCCTGATTGTCATACCCATAGAAGCCTTTCTTTGCACCTCTTGCCAAGTTCAGTTCCAGTTGGGCCTTGACCTTCCTGACTCCACCTTTACACAGCCTAGCAGCATCCCCATACTCCTCCCAGGTTACCAGTCCCTGTTTCCACTGCCTGTGCTTTTTCTTCTTACTCTCCAGTTTGACCAGCGGGTCCAGTTCAGCCATGCCAGTCTCTTGCCTTCCTTTCCTGACTTGTACACCTGGGGATGGAGAGCTCTTGTGCCCTGAGGAAAACTTTGTAGGAAGGCAGCTAACTACAGTGTGCATGAAACCCTACCTGGACTATCTGAATTGAACACTGTGCTGTAGAAGTTCAGTGTAATATAAAGAAGAATGAGGATAAGTCATTTTGTTACTACGTCTTGTATTGTTATCAATCTAAGAGTAGTTTTTCAGAATGCTTTTACACTTCCATAAACCTGTCAGCTCTTTACTGCTAGGCATTGCAATAGAAGTAGCAGTGTTCCAAAGAATCTGCTTTTGTCATATGGTCCCCAATGTCTGTGATTTAACACAGCTAATAATTAATCAGGTATCTACTACGGATTTATGCACCTGCTTTGTTACAGTACATGAGTTTTTCATGTTATACCATAAGGTCTTGGGGTACAGAAGAAAAGCCAAATTACGTGTTAAAACTATTTTATCTGCTTTCTTTCTTGCAAAGTTTCAGAAACCCATGCTTCATCAGAAGCCGCCTTCTTTCTACACTAAATCTCCTCATGGCTGTATTGTTTGTTAGTGCTGTATTAGCCTTTGGCCTAAGCAGCATTCCACTTTCTCTGGTATTTGTTCCCTTTGCATTTATAGGAAGTAATCAAATGCCTCCCAGTCTTCTATTTGCAAGGTTGAACAAGGTAATCTTGTATAATTTCTTCAGGTAATATGCCACTCTTCTTCATACCGGTTTACTTTGAACTCTCCTGTTATAATCAATGGAGAGCAATCCACGTGACTGCATTTACATTGTTGATGTCTACATCTGAGCTTGCTGCATCATCTCACTGTATTATCCATCACCACTTCTTTTCGTTCACAACATCAATATGTAAAATGGGTATATTGTGGTGGCTGTTTAGAGCAGCTGGTTCAGAGGCAGACATCTGTGCTATACAGGTCTAAGTTAGCAGAGAGAAATCCAGCCCAGAAACACATGCCAGAGGGTTTAAGCATTTGTACTGTGTCTGTGCTACTGCCAGTGACAGCAGTGCTTACCTATCTTTACTTGGAAATACTTAAAAAGAAAAAAAAAAAAAAAGTTCGAGGATCACTTTTCCTGTTTCCACAATGGCATCATAGTAAGGTCTCTTAGAAGTCTTTTGAGACAATTCTTCTCCTTTTTTTTTTTCCTTCTTTTTATGCAGTTTCTATCAGGTACAGTCTGCAGTAATTTCTGATGTACAATTTTCTTTCAGAGCAGTTGTTCTCCTTTCTCCATAGCAGAAATTAGCATGATTTTCTGCTATTATGTGGGGGATTTTTGCTGGTAAATTTTTGTCTGTTTCTATTATTCTGTCCTTTGATGTCATCAAAGCAATGTGGGTAGGCAGGCTGCAAATACAGAATAACCACTTGGCACTGGAGCTGTGGGAAGTGAACTAGTCAATTCACAGCATGAAATAAATGAGTAGTTTATGCTGTTTCATTGGTAACTCCGTAAGCCTCAGCAACAGTCTCTTGCTACTGTCTATCCATAACCTTAATGACTTTGAGGGCTGAACTGTTTACAGTTGGTGATCTATGCCTCAGTTCATCCACATGGTATTCCATTCCTCTTCTATTGACAGCATTTCCTACTTCCACCAGCAACATATTCCAATACAACTCTCTCATTTTGTGCTCCACAAAGATAGTACTGTGTAATGCAACACTATGACTAACATTGTTCCTGTTCCTTGCCTGTCTCATCGTGTTCAAATTCATTAACTACCTTCGGATCCCTCCTTAACACCGTGCTTTGCTGCAACGCCCACAAAAATTTGGAAACAGTCTGACTGTGAGTGAGCTGAGAACATTGCCTCGCATGCCAAGCACTATATTCTCTTTGTTTCCCAGTGCTCCTCCATCTGTTGGCACCCACCTGTTTCTAAATGGATTGTAAGCACTTTGGGGCAGGACCATGGCCTTCTTTGATGAGCTTGTGGGGTCTAATCCTGTTACCATCCAAGAGCTGGTGTTTTTAGTTACATTTGTTTCAGGCAAAATTCCTTTGAACTTAGCTTTAATTTTTAAATAACACGTAGAATGATTTGTGAGGAAGTACTCTCAGATCTAATATCTGTTTCAGTAAAAAAAAAAAAAAAAAAAAAAAAAGCCCCCAAATAATCATATGGCTGTGTATAGAGGCAACTTTATTGAGTTGTTTTCTTCATGTAATTCATTTGCACACAGAGACAGTATTTTGTATTTACTCCCATCCTATACACATAGAGGTGAAGTGGAAGCCATCTGTGAGTTCAGAATCCTGGCCACATTCCTCCATCCAGGCCTATGTAAGGATGATGAATTTGGGGACGTAGTTCTTCAGTTAAATATCTGAATTACTTTCAAAAGGGCAGTGGTGGGTTCTTGTGGGAGGTGACTGCTGCCATCACATGTTTTGCCTCCTTTTACTGCCATTGTCTGGGGCCCTAATAATTTGCCTTTGGAGACTGTAGTGATAGGTGAGGAGGCTGCACCAGCCTCAACAGCACAAAGCACTCAGCAATAGCAGCATCATGAGCAAAAACCACCAGCAGGAGTTTGAGCAATCAAACCTGTCATTTCTTCAGGAGAGTGGAAGGGGAGGATGTGTGGCACTGGAGAGGTGCCCTAAGAAAGCTTCTTGCTTGGGCCCCCTGTCACTTCTCTTTCCAATGGCCAATGAGTAGATTTCATTTTTCCCTATTTTTATTTTTTCTCTTCTTCCCCTTCCTCTCTGGTTTGCATTTTTACTCTCCATATTAGACTTGGGGTTTGCTGGCCGCTGCAGACTCAACTGATGGATCTTTATGCATGTGAACCCAACTAAGCATCCTTTGCAGAGCGGCTGTATGCAGCTGCAGCTCTGTGGGTGAAAAATGCTGCTTTTGCCAGCTGCTGTTCCTGTGCTTTGTCTCTTGCACACTACCAGCTTGCATGGCTCCTCTCTCCCTCTGTTTCAGGAAGGCAGAAGATGTGTGAGGCACTGGCACAGGCTAGATGGGGCCCTGAGCAACTTGGTCCTGTGGAAGAAGTCCCTACCCACGCTAGGGGGGTTGGAACTAGTTGGCTTTTGAGGTTCCTTCCAATCTCCAAGTATGTCCAAATAAGTTGTTCACCTTGGTTGACTCCTACTGCGTTTGGGAAAGCAGCACATGCTCATCCTGAAGGCATGGGTTTACATCAAGAAACATTTAATTTCATCATTGATTTCTCTTCTTAATGGACGTAGAACACAAGGTTGTAAATACAGATGGGTTGGGTCAAAGAATTCCTCACCTTTAATTCTGGAATGGGGAGGGAAGGGAGGATGTCAGCATGTAATTTGCATTTGTGCCTGCTTGCTGCCTATTAGAAAACTGTCTGTCAAGCAACAAAGGTGCCAGTAGATGAATGAGGTGAGCAATCTGCTCTGCTAGCAGGATCCTCGTGTATTTGCCAAGAGAGCAAATCTCTTGTAACAAGAGCCATGTGCTGCCTGGGGTTGTCTTGCTCCCTCAGCCTGACCCAGAAGTGACTGTGGAGGGGATGTGCAGAACTTCTGGCTGATGTGGCAGTCATGGTTCCTTTCTGGGATGTGAACTTCCAAAGGAACTGAAGCAGACTTCTGTTTGTTCAAAGAACTGAAATAACGTAGAAGCCAGGCATGGGGTTCTTTTAGAGACCTTGGGAAAGTCATACAGATTTTGGTAACACCTTCAGTTACAGAAAACATTTTTCTCTTTAACTATGTTGAGCACAGCCAAGAAATAACTTTTAAAAGATCTGTGGCATTCAAGGCATCCTGTTTCCCTTTTATTTTTAGCAGAAAGATGCTGGATGGGAGGTTCTCCCTGTCTGAACACCGTGCCCCAGGAAGCCCTTCTCCCCACTGCCATTCTCTGAACTAAAAAAATCACACAGGTACAAACATGATTAGTAATGCCTTTTGAACTGTTTTGAATATGAGCAAGGTGGGAAATTTAAAGAAAAAAATCTGCATTCCTTATTTCCATACAAATGCAGGCTTTAGGAACCTGCTCTGGGCAGCAATCCTGGGTGCTTTTCTTGTACAGAAAGAATAACATTTGGCAGACTGTGAGAAACAGAAACAAGAAGAAAAGGCTTTGCCTTTTTCTAGTGTAGATTTTAATCTCAAACTTGTTTGTACAGACACAGTGACTTACATTCACAACGCACTGTATTTTAGTGTGTCTCCTGTAATGATAATGTGAACCCAAATCAGGAAGAAGCCTTTCCATGAACTTCAGCAAGCTCCCCATTTTATTGCATTAATGAGAAACAATCAACATATTTCCTACAGCTGGGATACGCAGCAGTTAAGATTTAGCATGGGGCCACTGTTCAAATGTGTATTTTAAAAGGTCCGGAATAGCAATTTCCCAATTTCCTGCTTAATATTTAGATTTATGCTCTAGAACCAGTGCAACTTACCTTAGCTTTTCAGCAGATAAGACATAACTTCAGTGATGCTAACAGAGTTCATATGGTATAAATGTGGTGTGGTAAGAGAAAGGTGAAATCTACCCACAAGCCAAAGCCTCAGAATAAAGTAGCATCACTCCTTTCTATAACGTTAATTAAACACCTGCTGAAAAGTAAATGAGTTATAGTAATTCTTGATAACTGATATCACTGCAGAATGCCTAATGTCGAATATTTCTCCAAGTAGAAACCTTTCATTTTCCTGCTGGTTTATGGCGGGAATGTTACAGAGCTTTGGAATGCCATAGTAAAGAGCCTGGAGGGGAGTAAATCAGCACTGTTCTGTCGAGCACTTCTGATGAACGCTGATGTGGTCTCGCAGAGCACACTGGTGCTGTGCTGGTTGACATCTCCTGAAGATTTATCCTACGTGTTTAGAAGTGTGACTAACTGGAGCTGAATTGCGCCTTGCTATCCTTACTCAAGGTTGCATATATTGATGGTGAAAAGGAAGAGTTTTCTTATTACAGTCTATCCATGGAAACTTCTTAAAGAAAGAGAAATTGATTTTGTAGATCAGATTTTACCACCCCAGGAGCTGAACTGAGTCCAGGCTCACTGCAAAGGAATCACAATTAAGAGAAAGTAGTACTAATAGTAAAAATAAATATTAGATTAGGTATTTTCTAGAGGTAAAGCTTCAGCAGTTGAAAAGGGAGGTAAGAACATGCATAATACCAGGTAAAGGAGATCGTTCCCAGAAAAGAAAGATTATTTTTAAATGTGCCTCCAAATAACCCTGTTATATTATTAACACATCCTTTCAACTTGGGTCATGGCTGAATAAAGCTTCCTACACAGGTTGTCCTATAGATACAAACTCTAAGTCACATAAAAGCAATCCAATCCTATTTGCATTGTCAGTCTATGATACAAAATGCTGCAATGACCTCTTTTTTTAAGTCCAGTGCTATCTATAAAATAGGCTTAGGCCTTTTTGTTCTTAAAGAGGTCAGCTGTTGCTTTGCTTTCTTAATGAGCTTCAGACATTCCCAGAGAGCTTTCTAATATTGCAGACATACCCAGCCCCAGGCAAGACACTCGCAGCCTCTGCCAACACCTAAGCTTTGCAGACAGATCACATGTGACAGGTTATGCAACTCAGCTGGGCTTTATATATGAGTACGATGTTAGCATTCAAGGAACCTACAGGGAAAAGAGCACCAGGTAAGGAAAAAATGTTTGCATATGTTGCTTCTTGGAGTACTCTGGCACTCTTAACAAAGCATATTAAATTTAATCTTCTGTTTCATTTGAAGGTCAGTGTAAAAAAATCCTTGGGAGTTAGTAATGTTTTTTGTGTTCTAAAATTGCAGGGAGTGAAATTCAACAAAGACTTAGAAATAATGGTTATCCCTCTGCGGAGAATGACACCTGGGTATATAAGGTTGCTGCAGGTATGAAAACTCCAACTCTTTTTCTGCTTTTAATTAGACTGTTGAAGTATTTTTCTTGCTCAGATGGATTTTGTTTCAAATTATTGCCTGACCAACCCAAGGGAACCCTGGCTTCTGTTGGGTTAACATTCATAAAAACTCAAAGAGGTCTTAATTAAGCTTCTGCTGGAAAGTAAATGAATTATGATAGTTCTTGATAATTGGTATCGTGCTGGAACACCAAGTGCAGGGTACTTAGAAGAAACTTGTGTTTCTGCAGTGCTTAAACTAAAACTACTTCTCTACTACTTTTGATTGTGTGTTTGGGGCAGTAGGAAATCATTAATAGGAATGAGAATGGTGGGGTTCTGAAGAACTTGTAATAACTTCTCAGTAAAACAGTTTGACCAACTTCTATGATTATGACTGCAGAATCACAGAATGGTTTGGCTTGGAATTAAGACCATCTAATTCCAACCCCTCCTTTCCATGGGCAGGGACACCTTCCACTAGATCAGACCCATTCAACCTGGCCCTGAACACTTCCAGTAATAGAGTATCCACAGCTTCTCTGGCCAGCCTCTGTACCAGTGCCTCACCCCTTAGAGTGAAGAACTTCTTCCTTATGTGTAAGGACATAAGGATGATAAAGAAGCCTCCAACAATACTGAGCTGCCCAGGTTGGTGGTGGGCTCAGTGTATCTGGAAGTGTTCAAGAAACGTTTAGATGTTGTACTAAGGGGAAATATTGGTGTTACGTGAACGGTTGGACTGGATAATCTTGGAGGTCTTTTCCAACACTGGTGATTCAATGAGCTGAAATGCTGAGGGACCAGAGTATTCATTACTAAATGAAGAAAAAATAAGACAGAGAAAATACTTTAAATCAACTAAATAATTAAGAATAAAACACTCATAGAAAAGATATTATAAAGTAGGGTATATTCCTTATTGTACACCACATCCTCATATTTACAAAGTGTTTGTATTCTTTTGTTGGATAATCACAGCTGTTGAGCATTATTGTCTGTATTCAGAATTGAAGTCTGTAATGGTTGAGCGGTGATATAGCTGAGCTAAAGATACTGTGTTTCATTCCTAGCAATGAACTTTCACTCCTCTCTACGTACCTTTAGATGTCAACTTACACAGTGATATTATTTGGAATTCCTTTTTTTGTACTTATGCCCTTGCTAAAGTAGCCACACTGTTAACCACAGTTGAGCACTGAGCTCTGATTGTTTAAGCTCACACAGAGAACATAGAATCTGGTAGTGAATCTTAGGCTCCTTGAAATGGAGCTTTGTGAATCATTTTGGTGGTGCCACACTTTCCTTCCACTGATTGCAAAGGAAAGCTTAAAGAATGAAGGTTTTGTGTAAGAAATGCCCCAACTAGAAAGATGCACAGTATGTTTTAATTCAGTGTCAATACGTGTAAGAAATGGTTTTGCTTTACAGAGAATCCACGCAATTATGTTTCATCTTCTTGGTTGGTGTATCAAATATTTCCATTAGGCAATTAATTTCTTATTGTTACTCTGAGAATTGATAACTAATGAACTTTTTGTCTTTACTTTGATTGGCATTTCCTGCTGCTTTGTCACACTTGAAGAGTTTGTGTTAAAGCTTGTCTGGTTGGTCCTGTGCTACCTATGGAGCTGATGAAAGATGTTACTATCCCTTTTAGCTTTACTTTCCTGGATATATAACTAACGTTCTAGGGAGCATCACTGAATTAGGAGCTTTTCTGTTGAAATCGGCAGAGTCAGCATAATAACTTGCCCTGTTTTCCCCATAGACTCAAGCTGCAGGAAAAATAGTTATCAACTCATCAGACGTACTGCTGCAACGGGCAGCCTTGCTCCTGGGCACGCTTGGGATCAGTCTCTCCAGCTACAGCACACACCAGCTGGCTCAACAGAAGAGACTTTCCGTGACCCGTTAAGCTGTGCTGAGATGTGATCTGAGAAGTAAATGCTTGTGTCAGTAATGCTGACAAGAAACTTTTCTGTCTCCGTTGCTGGTGTGGAGGTAATGAGACACGTTACAGCCTCGATTTCTACATGCAGAGTTAAAAAGATGAAAGAATACAGACTTCTTCAGGGAAGAAAAAAGCATCATGACTAATGGAAATCACATTTCCAGGAACTTGTAAATACAGTGGATCTTGGTGGTCTCGTGAGGTCCCTTCCAACCCCTGCAATTCTGTGATTCCGTGATTTTGTTTGTTATCCAGTGTATACATAGAGAGACATCCAAATCAGAGTAGATATAAACAGAAGGATGAGGGTGCCATGCTTATTTAGCATCACCTTGCTACAGCTTTTGCAAATTGACTCCTATCCAAAGACTGGTTTTGAAAAGGAAAGTCGGAAACAATACATTCCTCATAAGAGTCAAACTGGATAAAGAGAATCTTTCATAGGCTGTTTGTACATTTATATCTAACTAGAAATACACATCTGTGTGAGGAATCGTGCACTCTAACTGTTAATATTGAATCTTAAACTTTTTAAAATACCTTTTGTATAGAAATGTGTGTGTGTTGTAGCACATGCTGATTTCTTTGTGCAACAGCAGAGATGGCTGAAGGCTCTGCCATCACTACACTGCTGGAAAGGAACCGTGACAGCAGTCCAGATGACTTTGTAATCCTGTACAGAAACACTCTACTCTAGAAAGGATCAGTAAAAATTTGGGGCTGAGTTTTCTTGTAGAGCTAAACATCTGATTGTATTCCTCTGCAGAAACCCCTCATCTCAAAATATACGTGCTGATTAAAATAGAGATTGACCTTCCTTCCTTTTCCCCTGTTTTCTTGTTCTTCTTACTCAGTATAATAGCTTATTCAGGAATGTTCTGTTACTTTTGGATAGCATTTTTCCAACTGTTTCCAATGCTCTGTGTAAACATGGCTTTGTAGACTCTTGCATGCATATGTTACTGTTTGATATCCTTTGTTCTCACTTAATAAATGCAAATATATTTTTTCAGTGTTTAAATTTGTTTCTTCTGTCAACAGTGTTTATATTCAACCACTAAGGGGCATCCTTCACAGCTGAATGTTCTGAAGTCTTCAGATTGTTCAGCACAACATTACAAACCATACATGGAATCAGGTTGAAGTTCTTACTTGTCCTTTTCAGAATTGTTCTGGCTCCTATTTCCTATTGTCAGCCCCTCCAAGAGATGTCTGTCTTTCTCCTACCACTGCAGTTAAATTGAAGAAGATTAGAAATAGTTTGTGTCTTAGTAAACTGTAGTAAAATATCTATCTCCATCTTCTGTTTATATTTAACATTAAAAGTCATGTAATGGAATATTCCATCTTCTGCCTCTCCCTACAAGAAATTATTTTAGAAAAGGCTGTATTGACAAAAATAAGTGACATATCTGAAAAGTGTTCAATCCCATTTACTGAAGATACTAATGGGACATCTTCCTCCCATATGAGATCTGTATGGCTTTCTAATCAAAGCACGTGATCTTTATGAACTGTTTTTATTGACTATTTTCCTGCTCCTATGCAAAGTGAATACAAAATTAGTAGCTGTTATCAGTTCCGTTCCTATGCTAGTATGAACTATTCTGTTAGATAAAAGCTAAGTATAATAACATGATGCAATTTTTAAATATAGTCAGTCACAGTATAATTTTCAGAAGATATGCTAGAACAAAATAAAAGAATTGATAACTTGAACCAGGGACGCGTTGTCATTTTACTGCATGATGAAAATGGAGCTCACAAGGACCACATATTTTTACCATGAGAACAGCTTTGAATAGTTTTGGTGATTTTTATTCGAGACCGATGGAAATGACAGACAGAAGAACAACACTGGCAATAGATGAATTGGACCAGGGAGAAGTCAAGTCAGAAAGATGGGGACTCAGGAGCCTCAGGAACGTGTAGGAAGGTGTAATGGAAATTAGCTAAAAAATGAATACACTTATGCTTGATGATGGTGATTTCGATCTAGACTAAAAATCATCTTTAGGTGAAAAATTTGAACTCTATCCAGCAGTACTTTCCTCTTGAGATGTTCTCCTTGGCAGAACTGGCACAGTCCTGTGGATTCCTGGTCCTACAGGAGGTTCAAGATATGAATGTCAGTGCTGCGCATCCACTACAGGAAGGGATCTAACCTCAGAATTTTGACAAACAAAAGCTGCCTTCCTTCTAATTGCATATTCGCTAAGAACTCCCCCTTTCCCAGTATACCACCTTCAGTTCTTGGACCCTACCTTAGTTTTCCACTCTCATAGGCACCTGATTGCAGCCTGTGGAATCCCATATGAGGCATGGCTCCTAAAAGCTGGCCAGGACGCCGCTTTGCCAAACGGAGGTATTTAATCTCTTCCTTTATCTACCCCCAAAAAGCATTTACATTTTAAACATATTTGTACTTTTGTTTATATGGATTTTACTTCAAAAACTGTTGCAAGTCCTCAGCAATTGAAAGTTGATGAAGCCTGGTGAGCTTGGGTAGATTAATGCTGCTTACTCAGTTTTGCAAAGCTTTTAAGAAACACCAGCAGTGGATTTCCTTTGGCACGTAAGTTGTTATGTTTGTGAAATTATCCTTCAGGAAATACTTTTTACTTTTCCTAGCTTGTAAAAAATATTGTAAAAACAAAAGTACTGTTTAAGCAAGTAAATATTAGACCTTCTTCAGAAATACACTCTAAAAGTAATTTCATAAAATGTATTTTACTAGTTTTACCTCAGAAATTGGACAAATATCTATTAATATCTCCTGATGCCAAAAATTTAAACTAAGCAAATCCACTTCTCTCAGCAGTAGCCTCTCTACTTTGAATTATGTCTTGATACGGCAAGCTAATTACTTCTCCTTTGAGTCCTACGGGATTTTGTAACTGCTGGGTTTGTGGTTTGTATGTCCACCTCCTGAAGTCAGGTGAAGTGAAAGTATCAAGTGATCAGAAAATCAAACATGTTTGGTATTCTCTTCAAATAGATGTAGCGTAGACTGGAAAGGTTTTTGAGAGAAATGGCATTGCTGATATAGATGAGGGAGCATTCGAGCTTGACCTTTTGTGCTTATAAAGCCCATTAAAGTCACTTGAAATGGCATGTTTTATGAAAAACTTTCACACACGTATACTCAGTTGTCCAAAGCAGAATTTCTGTCTTCTTCACACCAGGACAGACAGCCCAGGACAACTACTCAAGGTAACACTCCACTAAGAAGCGGAGTATAAAATGCATGCAACGTCTCTGATGTCTTTTCATAGATCTTCTGGAAATTGTGTTTCCGCATCAAAGTTCCCACTCTAAAGCATTTTTATCTGTAAAGCTAATCTCTAGCTTTGTGGAGCTGCAGTCTGTGCGTTTCCAGATACGCCACAGACCAAGAAATTGAGCAGTCACTTGGTCACTTATTACACTGTGATTATGTGATTGTGACTCTGAGCCTTTAATCTGCATATCAAAGAAAGAATGAAACCAAACCCAGAGTTCTTCTATCCCTGAATTATGTATACATCTGTTTATACAGTAGCTGTGCCACAGTCTGAAGCAGCCCATCTCTGGTATGGGCTGTTTCCTATCCTACAGCCACTCTGAAGTTTTCTGTGGGGCAGAATGAGCTCCCAGACAAAGGGCCCCAGCCCTCGCTGAAGCTGGTGGCTCACTGCTGTTCTGGCAGCATCCCCTCGTGCCAGCAGGGATGTGGCACGGGCTGGGAAGTGGCACCTTACTGATAAACCCTTCATTTTGTACCCTGTGATGATGTTCGTGCCAGACAGACGGATTTTTGGCACAACTGTGATGGTAATCCTTTTAAATGGCATCCTTTTAAGTATGTTCTGTGCCCACATCACCTTTTCAATTACTAATTATACTTCCCGCCAGTGATAAATCAACCAAACAAGAAGGTTACTAATGCTTATCTTTGCCTTTCCCCCTTAGTTATGAGTAGCCAATGACAAGGTAAAATAAATCCATCTTGTCTTTCATATGACTTTCTTGTTACTGCTCTACAAAGATAGCAATTTAATAAGGTAACTTAGGTAGTTTAATCAAATGGCAGATTAATATGACTCCTGGAGCTGTGTTCACTACAGGTTTTAACTGAGCATGTAATCATGAGCAATGGTGTGGCACTGACTTTTAATCAGAGTTCCTCTGTCTTTGCAGCAAGCGTTTGTACATATAAATATTGTCCAAAAAGGCTTAGAAATAGATGCTTCTCTACCTCCATAGCAACATTTCTGTGAATGACCATTTCAAGTGTTCCACGCCTTTTCCAAAGCATGTAGGAACTTCATATAACCCTCAGCACCCCACTGATAAAATGCAAGAGAAAAGTTTGCGGCAGGATGGTTAAAGGATGGCAAACTGAGTGGGGGTTTGAATTAACTCCCAGTAGTTGCTTCCATACATTTGCACCCAGAAACTGTGGGTGGGATTTATCTCCATTTACAAGCGGAATCCAATTAGCTCCTTCTGCAGACAGAGAAGACTTGTCTGGGAGCGACCTCCGGCCTGTGGCCTGGCAGCTGCTCGGAGGGACTTCAGGAGGAGTTGAAGGTGTGTGGATGGTTTCTTTACACATGCAGGTACTTCCTGCTAGGGGGCTGTTTTCTTTTTCTGTAATTTTCCTGACTGGGGAAAAGGGGTGTATCTTGTTGCTGTGATTTAAACCAGAGTAGGGAAGAAATACCAATAGAAAGTGACCCTGCTGCTGATAAATATCTCGAATCTCTGAAAAACATAGCAAATAACAAACTGGTTTGTCCTTCACTGTGTGTTCTTCAGTAATGAATTACAGGAACTTGAAACTCTCAGCCCAAAAGGGATGGTGGCACACGAAGTCAAAATGCATAAAAGCTTGAACAGAATCATCACTGCCTGGGAATAACTCAAGCAATGTGTGGCTCTCCTGTCATAACTGAGCCATATTTCTTTTTAAAAAGCAAGCTTCGTCCCAAGGAAAAAAATATGTGTAGGACTGTGCTCTGCACTCAGCAGCTCAGCAGCACTGTGGTAGATCCTCACTGTAGATGGAGAAAGAAAGGGTGTAGGGACAGCACAGAAGCCTTGGTTTACCCTCAGGCTACAGAAGGAGGTGAGTGATGAGGTACAAGGAGGGATGCTGTTGCCCCAACCCTACCTCATCACTGAGTGCAATGCAGTCTCTCTCCTAATCTTGGTGTTTGTCACACAGCTCTGCCAGTGTTTCTTTTATCAGGTAACTCAGGGTCCCTCTCTCATCCACTTGCTGGGTTATATCCTATTCATTAGCCCTGGAGTTCATCTAAGGGGTTATTTGTAATGTTTCACCCCTGCTGGAATTAGACTGTGAATTTGATGATGTTTGTACGAAGTGGAGGAACTGTAAAAACACCGGCAGTGTTGGCCGTGAAAAGATACCTGCAATGTTTTTTTTCCTCTCTGTGGTCATTTTTTTTCAATAAAAAAACAGTTCTACTCTTTGTATTCATGTCCCTGCATTTCTTCTGTCTTTTCTTTGCCAAACCAAGAAAGGCACTGCAGCCTCAGATGACCTCATCCTGCAGAACAGTACGCAATGGAAGGATGGGCAAAACTTCATAAGAGCAAGGGGAGCAAAACACCCTCCAGCCAGAGGAGAGGAGGTGAAAATCAGATCCCCCAGGCTATGCAGTGAGCCTAGAATCCATCAGAGCCTGGAGCAGCTTCAGTGAGCCAGTGCTCTGCAGCCATTTAGCAAAGCTGGAACTCATTTAAGCTCTATGTACCTTCAGCTGTGGTTTAACTCTGCAACTATCTCAGTACAAGTTTGAATCAAAAGGACAAAGGAAATGAATGTAAACCAACCAGCTTATACTGAGTCATAAACAAGTTGCTGGTTTTTTCTGTTTTTTCTTTCTCTTAAATCGTACAGGCTGACTTATGCTTTATAACTGCTCTCCCACACTAAAGCAAAATTATTTCTTCACTGTGTTGCACATTAAAAAACCCAGAGTATTCTTAAGGATATTGACACTGAAGTAGGATTCCTAAGCATTTCTGTAGGTTTTCTATATAGCCAGTATCAAAAATCAGCACTCTTCAGAGCAGATCATCCTCTTTGGGTGCCCAGAAGAGGAGACCCTCCCCCTCTGCTCCCCGGCACGTGCCTCACTCCTTGCTGACTGCAGACATGGAGATTTCACTTGGACTGGGCACCTCTCATTTAGAAAGCCATGGGAGCTGAGGTGAATTGTTCCTATCTTTACAAAAACAGCTGCCAATAAGAGCCATTTCACATCAAAGACACAGAGATATGGAGACAATCAGTTAGCATATTTGGAGGCATGGCTGCCAGGACCTGCATAAGGCTTTCAAAGAGAGAGCAGCTCAGCTGCAGAAAGCAGAGACTGGGTACAGTCCAGAGGCACCTGGAGTAAGCTTACACTGGAGATGTAAATACTGAGCAAGCTCTTTCTATTCAAAGCCAGCACCTGGCTGCAGCAGAGTGCGGCAAAGTGTGAAAGCAATGATGTGCAGTGCCCTCATGCTGTCTTCCCTCCTTTCTCCTGCAGAAACTAGAAAGAGCAGAGGGTTTTTCCTTGAATAACAAGTGCGTGAGTGTGAACTGCAGGGAGAGAACCCCCATAGCAGTGGGGTTATGGCACTGCTGCTGTCAAGGGTTGTGAGACCGCAGGTGCCTGAAGTG